CCATCCACCCACCATCCACCCATCCACCCACCATCCACCCATCCACCCACCATCCACCCATCATCCACCCATCCTCCACCCACCCCAGGGACCCACCGTCTTCTGTAAAGGGATAGATAGTAAATATTTTAGGCTTTATGAACCATCCAGTCTCTGTTTCAACTACCAACTCCACCAGTCTCGTGAAAGCAACTATAGATGATATGTAAGTGAATGCAAGTGGCTGTATTCCAGTAAAAGGATTTACAAGAGTTGGCAGTGAGCCAGATTCAGGCCTGAACCATTGTTTCCCACTCCGTATCTATTCCTCTGTTCATTCAGAAAACGTGTATGTGTTTCACCTATGCCAGGCTGTGCTCTGGGTGCAGGGACTGGGTAGTGAAAGAGACAGCCTGGGTGCCGGCCTCCTGGGTGGTGCATCACAGTGGGGCCAGGAAGATACAGCAAACTGGAGCTGCTTGGCCTGTGGTCAGGGCGTGGCAAATGCTGTGCAGGGAGGGGCCGGTGCTGGAAAACGGGCCTCACTGGTGAGGGTGAGCCCTGCAGAGGGAAGGGGCCCGAGGCAGGACTTTGCCTTGAGGATCACAGGACAGCCCGTATGGGGGGAGCGAAGGAGGTGAGGTTGGGAAGAGGAAGCAGTCACAGGCCATGCCAGAGCCCGGCTTCTTTTAAGTGCAGGGGACAACGTTTGATCAGAGTTTTTTCTTCCTGAGACAAAGGTGCTTGCTCTGTCACCCAGGCTGGAGTGCAGTGGTGTGATCTCGGCTTACTGCAACCTCCACCTCCCAGGGTCAAGCAATTCTCCTGTACTCAGCTGAGTAGCTGGGATTATAGGCGAGTGCCACCATGCCCGGCTAATTTTTGTTTTAGTAAAGATGGGGTTTCACCATCTTGGTCAGGCTGGTCTTGAACTCCTGACCTCGTGATCTGCCCACCTCAGCCTCCCAAAGTGCTGGGATTACAGGTGTGAGCCACCGTGCCTGGCCCTGATTTGTGTTTCTTAGAGGTTAGCTGGGGCAGAGGCAGGTGTGGAGGCTGGGAAGTGACAGCTGCTGCAGTATTCCCGGTGGAGGGGATGGGGAGGAGAAGCAGCTCTTGCCCCCGCTTGCCTGCCTGACACCCAGACTCTTTCATCCCAGGCCCTCTTGGTCTCCGGGGAGCACATCCTGGGCCGGGGTGGGCTCCTGCTGCGTTCCCGCTGCCAGGTGGGCCTCGCTCCAGCCCCAGAACACGGCCTGCACCTCAGTCTGACCCTCCGAAACCACAGCAGGCCTCACTCGCCTGACTTCTCCGGGGAGCTAGAGGTGGGTGGCCAGGACCCGGCTGACGGTTCCTGGGGAAGATGCGCCGACTTCGCCCCCGTTCCTCCCTGGCCAGCAGCTCCTCACTGCCTGGGCGGCCCCGCCACCTAGTGGCCAACTGAGGAACTGCAGACCAGCACCCGGGATGGGGCCAGAGCATCACCCTGGGTTCAGGGAACACCTGCTGAACCTCAGGAGAGGCCCTGGCGCCAAGACAAAGCAGCTCCTCCACTGGCCCAATACCCAGCCCTTCCTATAACGGAGAAGTAGCAGCTGGGCTGCCCAAGTTTGAATCTCAGCCCAGCTGCCTCCTGGCACCTGAGTTTCCTCCCCTGTAAAATGGGTAATTACACTGGCCGTATCTCCCATGGGGTTAACATTGCAAAGATTACATATGTTCATAGGCATAGATTGCTTAGAGCAGTGCCTGATGGAAAACAGCCACTATGTACGTATTTGCTGTCGTTAGCCACTATTGGCCCCATCTCCTCTCCTTCCTGCCTCCCAGCAGCCCTGGGAAGTAGGAGGGGGCAGAGTGGGCCTCCAATGCCTGCTCTGCCTTGACCTTGCCAGGCGATCCCAGCAAGGAAAGTCTCTGAACATCTGTTTCCTCATCTTGGATCAGTTGTTTCATAGGGTGGTTTTTGGGGGTCTGGATAGCAGCTCCCACTGCCCACATAGCCAAGGCATGTGACAGCAGGTGCTCTCTTGGTGATTCCATCTGCCTCCTCTGTCTCCCTGGCTGGGTAAACTTGACCTTGTGACTTTCCTTTGCTGAGCCTCAGTCTTCCCCCCATTAAATGGGAACATCTAACATCCCCCTTGCAGAATCCTTAGGAGGAAAACAGACATTTGTACAACATCTGCACATAGTAGGTACTTGTGAGAAGGGAATTCCCTCCCTTCCTGGCATCTAGAGCTGGATGAAGATGGCATGTGTGGGTTGATAGTTCAGCAGCTGTGGCCATTTCAAAGGAGATTTTCCTTCCAAGGTTCTTGTTCTCTGGGACTGATGGTCACTTCCCGTTTCCCAGCCAGGCTCCTGGCTGCTCCCGGCCCCCAGCTCTGTAAGCCCCATGCCTGATAGAACCAGATGCCTGGGAAGGAGCCTGTGGTGGACACTGAGCAAGTGGCTGGTCCTCTTGCTTCCCTGTCCTGCATTTACTTGAGACAGCTGTTCTGGCGCCTTCTCACTGGCTCCATTCTGGGGTCAGTGGAGTGGCCAGAGGCCTTCCCAGCCTTCTTTGATCCTCCCCACAACCCAGTGGCCCCAGGACAGACGAGGGACAGATTGAGGGAGGTCAGGCACTCTTCCAGGCTGCACAGAGGCAGGTGCGGCTGAGGCCGACTCTGTGTGGTCTGCAGATTGCCCCCTGACCCCAACTGGCTGGCAGGATCACACTGTGCTCTGTGAAATTCCACAGGAGTCCTGGGCTGAACCTTCTTCCTAACTTGGATCTTCTCAGAGATCAGTGCTTCTGCATGTGCAGTAAGCACCCTGCATTAGGTTCCAAGGGCGACTGTATTCAGTTGCCACCAACCGGAAGGATTAATGCAACAGACATGTTCTAGAGGCCAGAAGTCCAAAATAAAGTTGTCAGCAGGGCCACCTTCTCTCTGAAAGCCCTAGAGACGATCCTTCCGTACCACCTCTAGCTTCTGGTGGCTGCCAGGAATGCTTGGCTGTGGTGGCATCGTGCCAGTCTCTGCCTCTGTCCCAGGTGGTGGCCTTCTGCCTTCTGAGTGGTGTCTTCACATGGCCTTCTCCTAGGGACAGCATTCATTGGGTGTGTGGCCTACCTTCATCCACTATGGTCCCATCTTAACTTGATATTTGCAAAAAAACTTTCCAAATGATACCATGTTCATGGGAATGGGAGGTTAGGACTTCAACATATGTGAGGAACAAAATTCAACCCTTAACAGACACACGTGCAGACACACATACACTTTTAAGTCCTTCTGAGTTTTGGGAACCATTGTTCTGTATGTTTTACAGACCTTTGAGCTGAGGCCCAGAGAGGGTGCCGCCCTTACTGAAGGGTGCACAGCTTGGTAGCTGCAGTGTCTGGAGCAGAATACAGGGTAGCTGAGGCTCCTTCCCCTGCAGGGCCTCTTCCAGGCTTGTGTTCTGTTGGGGCCCCTGAGCCTCTCCACCACCCCATTCTAGACTCACCTGTCCTGGTCCTGGTCCCTGCCATGCCCTGAAGGCTAGGCGCCTGCAGGGATTGAGGTAAACTGCTCAGTGCCTGGGGTGTTATGCCACGTGTTACCTACGCCTCCGTGAACTTGCTTAGACCTTTGCAGTGGTTCCCATGCAAACTCAGAAAGCCTGGGCTCTTGGCAGAAACACCAGGGCACTGTGAATATTGGAAACACAAGTGTGCGGGGGTGGGGGGGGCCCTCCCTCAAACCAATTAAATCAGAGTGTCTGGGCAGGGTCTGGGAAGCAGTCATCTCTAAGTTACCCTGTGGCGGCTGCTGCTGGGTTGGTGGGCTCCTAAATGTTTTTTGAGAGAGTCTTACTCTGTCACCCAAGCTGAAGTGCAGTGGCGCCATCTTGGCTCACTGCAACCCCCGCCTCTCGGTTCAAGCAATTCTTCTGCCTCAGCCTCCCAAGTAGCTGGGACTACAGGTGTGTGCCACTATACCCAGCTAATTTTTTGTATTTTTAGTAGAGACAGGGTTTTACTGAAGCCAGGATGGTCTCGAGCTCCTGACCTGGTGATCCATGATCCCCCTGCCTTGGCCTCCCAGAGTGATGGGATTACAGGAGTGAGCCACTGTGCCCGGCCCTGAGTATTCTCATAGGTGCTTTCTGCGATGAGGCACTGGGAGCCTTTGGGGAGGGATGTGATACAGGGAAGCCCGTGGCCTGGAGATTGGGGCTGGGTATTGTGCCTTCCCCTGGTTTCCTACAGGTCCGACTACAACCTCCCCAGCCAGCCCCTTCCTGAGCCTGCAGCTGGCAGGAGACAGAGACCAGGAACAGGGCCTGGGACAGCCTCCACTCAGGACTTTACCCTCCCCCTCCCAGCTTCGTGGCTCCAAGGCTCACCGGGTTGGCCTACTGGGACGTGTCTCTACCTCAGCTTCTCAAAGCCTGGTCCAGTTGGAGGGAAATGTGGACAAGAGGGAGGAGAAAGTGAAGCTGTCTGTGTCCGGCATCCCAAGCTGTCTCCAGGCCTCTGTGACCCATGAGGAGGGTGAGTGGCGGCTGGGTCCCAGCTCAGCTCACTGGGTCATGGCCCCCATTGGCTCAAGAAAGGAGAGAGGTCTGGGCATTAAGATTTCAGAAGTCAGAACTGGGCCCAGGGGCTCACACCTGTAATCCCAGCACTTTGGGAGGCTGATAAAGGAGGATTGCTTGAGCTCAGGAGTTCGAGACCAGCTTGGGCAACACAGTGAGACTCCCATCTCCACATAAAGCCTCATGGGGTGGTGCGCTCCTGTGCCCCAGCTGCTGGGAGCAAGCTGTGATGTTGCCACTGCACTCCTGCTGCGGCGGCGATGAGACCCTGTGTCAGAAAAAAGGCTCAGGAAACCCCATCAGGATCGCATGGCATCCCTCACTGACAGCCATGGCAGGTTGCTGGGAAGGGTACAGAAGAGGGGGCTTCAGGTGGGTCAGCAGGTTGAGGTGGTGCAGCTCCAAGTCCTCACGTTGCAGAGCTTTGGGACTTGGTGTGGGGCAGTAGGGAGCTATGGAAAGTGGTGGAGGAGTGGGCAGCTGGAAACATCAGGGTGCTCAAGCAGGTCCTCTTCTGGCTCCAGGGGGCAGAGAAGAGAGTGTGGTGCTGCGGGCATGTGCTGACCGGCGGACAGCGGAGGTGGAGGTCCTGTTCCGGGATGGCAGGCAGCCCTTCCAGACCCTGGGCCGCCTGACCCTGCAGGCTGCCAACCACAGCCTCCTGCTGGCTGCACAGGGCTGCGAGGGGCGCCTGCTGGGCCATGTGGAGGTGAGGGGGCCTGGGCTGGGCCACAGGGAACACGTTACTGTTCTCTCTGGGCAGAAGCCACAGTGCCAGGAACCCCGAGCCCTTGGGGTCCATCTGTTCCCAGAAATCAGAGCACACAGTCCCAGGGTGAGGCCCGCACCTGTTGCTGGCACCAAGACCATTTGTCCATCTCATTCCTCTGCGGCCCCGAGGGAGTCCCAGCCTCTTCTCTGTCCTCACAGTCCAGGATTGCAGCAGTTGGCTCCCAGGTGCAAGCCCGGCTGGAAGAGAAGGTTCGAGGCTTGGGTGCCTCTGTGAGAAGGTTGCAGCACTTGGTGGGTAGCACAGAGGAGAGGGGTTGGGTGGAGAGCTCCCCCTCTGGACTGGCTTGTAGCCCCCACTTGCCAGGCATTCTGCCCTGGGCAGGAGGGTCTGGGGCTCTCTCTGCCCTGGACCTCACCCCGATTCTGCCTTGGCTTCCCTGCGCAGGTACAGCGGGGAGGCACCCTGAATGGCCTGGCAGGCTTCCTCCTACAGCTGTCCCAGGCAGGGCTAGAGGCCATGCAGACAAGTGGTCGGGCGGTCACCACCTTGTGGGGCCACAGCCAGGCCTGGCAGGCATTGACACAGCACCTGCCTCTTTACCTGGACCGGCTGCAGGTGGGGCTGGAGCAGCTGCGGAACGAACTGGAATGTGAGTGTGGGAGGGAGGGCTCAACCCTGCACCAAAATCCACGCCCAGTCAGGGGCCCTAAGCTCTCACATTGGCCTATGGCACTGTCAATCAGACCAGTGGCCTTGCTTCCTGCCGGCCTGCAGCCCAGCTCTGTTGAGACCCACGCCTTCTTATAGACCTACAGCCTTGGGTTTTTGTTTTTGTTTTTTTAAACAAAGCGTCTGTTGCCCAAGCTGGAGTGCTGTGGCATGAATTTGGCTCACTGCAACCTCCACCTCCCAGGGAGAAGCGATTCCTGTCTCAGCCTCCCAAGTAGCTGGGACTACAGGTGCATGCCACCATGCCCAGCTAATTTTTCTATTTTTAGTAGAGATGAGGTTTCACCATATTGGCCAGGATGGTCTCGATCTGTTGACCTTGTGATCTGCCTGCCTTAGTCTCCCAAAAAGCTGGGATTATAGGTGTGAACCACCATGCCCGGGCAACCTCATTTTTTTCGTGGGCTGCTGCCTCATTTTTTTTTTTTTTTTTTTTTAGACGGAGTTTCGCTCTTGTTACCCAGGCTGGAGTGTAATGGCGCCATCTCGGCTCACCGCAACCTCCGCCTCCTGGGTTCAGGCAATTCTCCTGCCTCAGCCTCCTGAGTANCTCCTGGGTTCAGGCAATTCTCCTGCCTCAGCCTCCTGAGTAGCTGGGATTACAGGCACGCGCCACCATGCCCAGCTAATTTTTTGTAGTTTTAGTAGAGACGGGTTTTCGCCTTGTTGACCAGGATGGTCTTGATCTCTTGACCTCGTGATCCACCCGCCTCGGCCTCCCATAGTGCTGGGATTACAGGCATGAGCCACCGCGCCCGGCCCTGCCTCATTCTTATAAGGTCTCCAAGCTAATATCCCTCATGCCTGCTGCCTCAGTTTCTTCAGTCTTCCTCCTGCTTTTGAGTGTACAGCCTTGTTTCTGTGAAGCTCACTGCCAGAAGGTCTCTTTCTGGTTCCACGATGAGCTTACTGTGGCCGTGTGGTCTTTTAAACACTCACAGCAACTGCCCTCCTGGCAGGACTAGGAAATTCTGGCCTCTCCACTATCCGGGGCTAATGCCGGCCCAGCACAGAGCCCCCAAGACCCTGCCCGGCACCAGGGTGGGCATCCCTCTGACTGGCTGTTGAACGTCACCTCTGTATCCACTCTGCTGTGCCAGAGTCCCATGGCCACCCACAGGGCAGTGAATTTGGAAGAGTGCTCCAGGACTCGGCACACTGTGCCGTTGGCAACTGTGATTGACTACAGCGAGAGGAGGCAGGAGTGTCGGGGCGGAGTCCAGGGGGAACCAGGGCCAGCACCCAGTGTCCTCTCCCAGTCTCTGTGCCTTCACACGGGATGCACTTGGCTGTCCCAGCACTATGTCACCCAGGGTGTTTAGTGGGGGCTGCCACATTGACAGGTGCTGCTTGGCTCAGAGCACACTGTCAGACTCCTAGGAGGCAAGCAGGGGTCCAGCATAAACCACGTTTGTACAAACGGTTCAGGTGCAGAGAGCCTCGTATGACTTCCAGGAGTGGTGGGAACCCTCCCCCAATGCAAGTTCCCAACCTATGAGCAGGCCATGCAGAGGCGGCTGGGGTCTGCTGTGACAACTCGCCTGCAATCTGCAGTTCCTGCTGCTCTATTCCTTCTCCCCCACCATCTTAATCCCAGGAACAGGCCCTATCTCCTCCAGGCCTGGGCTGGGCCTCTGAGCTGCCCAGAGGCCTCATGGTGGGTGGTGGCTGCCCGTTACAGGGCCCCTGGCCACACTGAAGGACGCCTACCTGGAGGTGACGCTGCGGCCCCTGGAGGAGGTGTGGCGGGAGCGGGCTGAGGAGGCCATGTGGTGGCTGCTGGTCTGGGTGTCCGGGATGCCAGGCAACGGGGGTCCCAGGCCCATCAGGATGGCCCTGGGGGCCATGAAAGGCACCCTGGAGCTGGTGAGTGAGAGCAAGGATGGGGTGTGGCTGGCAGTTGAGGATGACTGAGACAGCTCTGACTGTCTCCTCCCTCTCCAGGTGGCCCACCAGATGCTGTCCTGGGCTGAGGCCACATTCTCACGGGCACTGAAGAGGCTCTGCAAACCCCTGCTGGACCTGTATGACCTCGCAGCCAGGTAACGCAGGGTTGGGAGTGGTACATCCGGTGTTCCTGCCACATGTCAGGTGCAATGCTGAATGCTTCGACACCCTCTGACTCACTGACTACTGACCACCCTGCACAGAGGCTTCTTCACTCCCCATTTCACAGGAGAGGAAGCTGGGGTTTCTTCCTCACTCCATAGAGACCTCGTGAGCATGGTCCTAGCGCAGGCAGGATTTTAGGAGCTGCTGTGGAGGAGCGCAGTAGGCGAGGCTGACTCCTGTCTTCAGGAAGCTCATTTTACTTAGACACAAAGCCCAAGAAATCATCTACAGCAGGGTGTGTACCGCTCCCGGCAAAGAGCCTGAGAGTCACCCTCTTGTGACAGAGCAGAATGGCCTGCTTATTTCCTTTTGTTTTAGAATCATCTTTCTTTTGGGATAGAGTCTTGCTCTGTCTCCGAGGCTGGAGTGCAGTGGTGTGATCTCAGCTCATTGCAACCTCTGCCTCCTGGTTTCAAGCTATTCTCCTGGCTCAGCCTTCAGAGTAGCTGGGACTACAGGTGTGTGTACCACTGCACCTAATTTTTTGCATTTTTGGTAGAGAGGGTTTTGCCACTCGAGGCTCGTCTCAAACTCCTGACCTTAGGTAATGCACCACCCTTGGCCTTCCAAAGTGTTGGGATTACAGGCATGAGCCGCCACATCGGGCCTGTTTTGTAATCTTTTAAACACATAAAAGCCCTTCCTTCTTGCAGGCCATGCAGATGCCGGCCACAGTCTGGGTGTGGCGCACTACCCATCATTTACCACCACTGAGCCGTACATTAGGTGGCAAATGCTAGAGAAGGAACATTGGTGAGATGGTGGGCTGGGGATGCTATGGTGTGGCCAGGGCCAGCTTTGAGGAGAAGGTACAGTTCGAGCAAAAGCCTTGGGGCCAGTGTGGGAACAGAGCTCCAAGTGGGGGCACCACTGCACAGAGGCGTGATAGAGGGATATGCCTGGCCTGTTTGTTTTTGAGATGGAGTCCCATTATCTGTCACCCAGGCTGGAGTGCTGTGGTGTGATCTCGGCTCACTGCAACCTCTGCCTCTCAAATTCAAGTGATTCTGCTGCCTCAGACTCCTAAGAACCTGGGATTACAGGCATGGACCACCATACTCAGCTAATTTTTGTATTTTTAGTAGAGATGGGGTTTCACTGTATTAGCCAGGCTGGTCTCAGAATCCTGGGCTCCAGAGACTCAGTGCTGGGATTATGGGCATGAGCCACCATGTCTGGCCGGTTTGAATAGCAAGGTGGCAGGGTTGATGCAACTGGGGGGACTGGGAGGTCCCAAGGCTGGGGGGTGAGGGGAGGACTCTGGCTTCTGCTCTGATATAGGAAGGATATGATCACCCTTTCACTTCAAAAGGCCCCTTTGGTCCCTGTGTTGAGAACCCGGGGGTGGTGTATATAAGTCGGGAACCCAGTCTAGAGCACGGCCCTGGGGACCCAGTATCCTTTTCCCTCCCAGGCATGAGGCCCACCAGGAACCGGGCTCCAGGCAGCGGGGCAGCCCCCTTTCTCCATGCTGGTGGCCTTGCAGAGCATCTGGACTCCAGCTCTGCCTCTAACTGGGATTCCTCTGCATTGGCTCTGTGTGCCTCAGTTTCCCCCGTTGTATAATAGGGACTAGACCCGTATCATGGGGAAAAGGCTCCTAGTAATACAAGTTCCCGTTCCTGCCACCTTGTGGTCAGAATGTAGGCTGAGGAAGGGAAGTGCTCCCAAGGCAGGGCTTTGGCTTGGTTGAAGAATCACCTGCCTGGTTATTCGCCTACCTAGTGAGGGGGATCTGGTGGGGGTGCCAAAAAATGGATTCAACTGGCAGCGAGGGCATGGAGGCTGCTTCCTGCCCCAGCTGTAGGGCCTCTGGGCCCCTCCACTGGCCTATCAACAACAGAGTGTGCAATATTCCTCTTCCCATTCCACCCCCACGTGAGCCGAGATCTTCCTGATTTTTCAGATCTTACAGGCTTGACCCTACTCTACATATTGAGAAAGTTCTACTCCTCCCCTCAACTGTAGAAATTTCCTAGACCTTTTGGGCACAGTGGCTCATACCTGTAATCCCAGCACTTTGGGCAGATCATCCGAGGTCGGCAGTTCGAGACCAGCCTGGCTAACATGGTGAAACCCTGACTCTACTAAAAATACAAAAATTAGCCTGGTGTGGCAGCAAGTGCCTATATTTCCAGCTACTGTGGAGGCTGAGACAGGAGAATCACTTAAACCCAGGAGGCAGAGGTCGCAGGGAGTTGAGATCGTACCACTATACCCGAGCTTGGAAAACAGAATGAGATTCTGTCTCAAAAAACAAAAACAATTTCTTTTTTAAAATTATTTATTTTTCTTTGATTCAGCAATTTTACTTTAATTTATCCTAAGGAAATTATCAAATGCTGATAAAATGTTTGTACAAGGATGGTCACTACAAAATTATTTAAAATTGAGAAGAAATGGAAAACATTTTACATATCCAACAATAGTTGATAGGTTTAAATAAATTAAGGCTCATGGATAAGATTGAATTCTACTGATTGACTGTTAAAACATGCAGAGAAACGCAGGCTCGGCATAATGCTGTGTGTGTGTGTGTGTTATCTGCATATATCTATACTATTGGTCAGAAGAGCAAATTGTACAACACATTAATCACATGTTATCACTACTTGGTGGAAGAACAGGTGGCTTTAATTTCATTTTACTTTTTAAAGTTTTCCTAGCTTTCTTCAAGGAGTATTTGTTACTTTATTGGAGGAGGAGTTTGAAGAAAACTTGTTTAAAATTGTTTACTGTAGTAAAAGACACATAGTATAAATTCTGCCATTTAAGGTATTTTTAAGTATACAATTTGGTGGTATTAATTATATTCATAATGTTGTTCAACCATCACCACTATTTATTTCTAAACTTTTTCATTTTCCCCCAAACAGAAACGCTGGACCCATGAAACAATAACTCCTGATTTCCCCCACCCCCTCTATGGTCCTTGAGTACTTCTAACCTACCTTCTGTCTCCATGAATTTGCTTATTCTAGATTTTTTTTTTTTTTTTTTTAAAAGACGGAGTTTTGCTCTCGTTACTGAGGCTGGAGTGCAATGGCGTGATCTCGGCTCACCGCAGCCTCCGCCTCCTGGGTTCAGGCAATTCTCCTGCCTCAGCCTCCTGAGTAGCTGGGATTACAGGCACGTGCCACCATGCCCAGCTGATTTTTTTGTAGTTTTAGTAGAGACGGGGTTTCACCATGTTGACCAGGATGGTCTCGATCTCTTGACCTTGTGATCCACCCGCCTCAGCCTCCCAAAGTGCGTGAGCCACCGCGCCCGGCTAGATATTTTATATAAGGATAATCACACCACATTTTTTCTTTTGTGTCTGGTTTATTACACCTATAATGTTTTCTAGGTTCGTCCATGTTATAGCATGTATCAAAATTTTATTTTTAAAGGATGAATCATATTCCATGGTATGAATATATCATATTTTATTTATCTATTCACCTGCAGATGGGCATGTGGGTTTTTCCGACTTTCAGCTATTGAATAATGCTATAATGAGCACTGATGTATAGGTATCTGAGTCCCTACTTTTAATTCTTTTAGGTGTATACCTAGGAGTAGAGATTTTGTATCATATGATAATTCTACAATTAACTTTTTGAGAAACTTCTGCTTTTTTGAGAAAAAATCCATTTTTAAAATTTCATTGTGATTCAACTTTCAAGAATATAGTGTAGAAAGGGGCAGGTTGATGTCAGCATCTATCAGTTGTAAAACTGAATGTCTCAAAATGTTCTCTGTTTTACACATACCCACACAAGCTAGAAACTTAGGCCAACTTTTAGAAAATGTCAATATAAATTTAATTTATCCAAATATCTGTAAGAGCTTTATGTATGCCAAGCATTTCAGGGCTAGAAGCTAAAAGAAACTTTGTGATCAGTAACTCTTTTTGGAATGTTTCAAGTTGCAAAATCACCCCTGAGAAAGCCAAAACCACATCATTTACTTTATTGCAATCTTTTGCCAACACTTAGATCTTTTTCTTACATTTCCACAAGCTAAATTTTCAGCAGGCAAACTCCAAGTGTTTTCATTTAGGAATTCCTTTTTTTTTTCTTTTTGAGACAGAGTTTCATTCTTGTTACCCAGGCTGGAGTGCAATGGCGTGATCTCGGCTCACCGCAACCTCCGTCTCCTGGGTTCAAGTAATTCTCCTGCCTCAGCCTCCCGAGTAGCTGGGACTACAGGCGTGCGCCACCATGCCCAGAAAAAAACAATTTCCTACACCTTCCAGCTCCTGTCCTCGGCATCCCCACACACAGGCCCCATGCTGCCCAAGACCCAGGGGGCAGATCAGGCATGACATCAGACATTTGTGTCCTCAAAACAGGGCAGCTTTGTTTCTGTCCTGGCCTCACCCCCTACCTCTGCTGTCATGCCAGCCTCCGTCCTCCTCCACCTCATTATGGGATTTCCTAGAACAAGGACAGCCCCTCCCCGAGAGACACCCCAATGCTCCCCATGGCAGAGCTCTTCCCGTGGACCTGTGAGCTCCCCCTCTGCAGCCAAAGGAAGCAAAGCTCAGCCACGCATAGCGACTTGCCCTGTGTTCCCTCTAGGAACTACTCCGTGGTGGTGACGTTGCCACTGCTGCCTTGGGGAGATGAGCCCCTGGACATGGCCCGGCTGACCAGCTACCTGGTGGAGGAGAAGCTGCTGCGGCCGCTCCGAGAGCTGTCCAGGGCCAATGTGCTGGCCGAGTTCTACCGGCTCAGACACTGCCTGCTGCAAGGTCCCTGGGAGTGTGAGTCCTGCCCTGGGCTGTGCCGCCCTCCTCGCTGGGAGCCCCCTGCCCCGTGGGCACAGCAGCAGGGCCATGCAGGGGCAGGTACTGTGGGGTCACAGGGAAGCCTGCAGAGGCTCGCGCCTCTGCAGGTGCCAGGCCCAGAGCTTACTGGACTTCCCAAAGTGCTATGGGACTGGGGCTGAGGCTGCACATCCTGCTCTTCTCCAGATTATAAGGCCTGGCCCAGCGCAGGAGTATAGTGGCCGTTTAGGGCTTTAGGCCAGCTCCCTCCCTGTGGGCTGTGCTGGAGCAGCAGGCAGACCTCCCATTACAGCTGGAAGGGCACCGAGTTTAGACTCAGCAGTCAGGGGCGACCTGCAACCAAGGGCGGTGCTGGGATGACCGGCTCTGGGCTCCTGGGGAGCTTGCGTGTGGCTCAGGTGATTAACCTCTGTGGACTTGGCTTCCTCCACTGTGAAATGCAGGTAACCATGTGGCTCGCTCACATGGGTAAGGGGCATGTACGGTTCTTAACGCATGAGGGAGCCCCTCATGTCTGTGGGGGAGCCACAGTACCCAGGCTTGGCGAGAAGCGGTTTATCCGTGTGGGACTCACACAGAGGCCTAGGGCTCCCTAGAAGGGTGGGTATAGTCAGGTCTAAGCAGCACACTGATCTTGTAGAAAACAGCCTGATCTTCAAGTTCTGTGTGACTGACCATAGGCTTCTCTGTGCCCCTCAGTTCTGGCAGCTGACCACGGGGCGGGTAGTGCCTCCCTCAGATTGCTGGCCCTGGCCATCAGGTGTCTGGCTGTGCATGATAGATGGTGCTTTCCCGCCACAGGCACGAGCACCCCCAAGGCACAGCTCAGGGGCCGCGCTGGCTGGACTGGTCAGACCTGCTCCTTCACAGGTCATCTCTTCCCTACCCTGAACACGGCAGGTCTGCAGGACGCTGTTATCGTGTTTGAGGGAGCTGTTGGCCGTCCACTTAAACAGTCAATGTTTTCCCCCCCCAGTAGCTTCCTTGAGATTAAATGGATGACTTGTATGATTTTTTTTTTTTGAGACTAGGTCTCACTTCTGTTGTCATGGTTGGAGTGCAGTGGTACAGTCTCGGCTCACTGCACCCTTGACCTCCTGGGTTCAAGTGATCCTCCTGCCCTCAGCCCCACAAAGCGCTGGGATGGCTTAGCGCCACGGTGCCCGGCTGATGTGTCAATTTTAAGTGCACGATTCAGTGGCTTCTAGTTTATTCAGAGTTGTGCATGTTCCACCACAATCGATTTTAAAACATTTTTATCTTAAAATGAAACCCTGTAGCTAAGTCTGCCTGCTGTGTCCATGGCTGTGCCTGCTCTGGACATCTGCTGTAAATGGAAGTATAAATACATGGTCTCTGAGCCAGGCTTTGTTACTTAGCACAACAGTGTTGTAGCGGGTCTCAGGACTCCATTCCTTGTTAGGGCTAAATGGGCCGTAGCCCTTCAGCTCATGTCATCCTGAAGCAGGTGGGGGATCGCTGGGCCTCTGGCTGCTGCACCAGGGGAGAGAGGACTCCTGGTCTCAGGGCAGGCTAAGCCGGGGCTCTAGGCATTGGGGTGCCCAGCAGGCATCGGGCTCCTCCTGAGGTGGGTGAAGCTGGCTCCACTCACCCTGCCTTTGGGGCTGCTCCTCCCCAGACCATGCCCTGGTGGCCGGGGCCCAGCATGTGGTGACTTTCGACGGCCGGGTGTGGGACCTCAGCGCCCAGTGTGGCAGCATCCTGCTGGCCCAAGACTTTGCTCACAACATATTCTCCCTGATGCTGAGTAGGACAGGCTTGGGGCTCACAGCCCTGACCATGGAGCTGAACCACATGACCCTCATCTTCTACCCCAGCCTGCAGGTGAGGAGGAGAGGCTCCAGCTTCCCCCGAGACCTGTGCCTGTGGCAGGTCGCCTGGAGGGATGGCCCTTTCAAGATTTTCCCCTGGCTGTGGGTCAGCCCTCCTGTCCATCCCCTCTCGTCCACAGGCCTACAGGCTGTACAACTCCTCCCTGCCGGGGGAGAGCTGTCCAGACCTCCAGCTGCCTCCTGCCATGACAAGGAGGGACATCCTCAGGATTGAGCTGGCCAGTGAGGACGGGGTCTCCATCTCCTGTGATGTGCCCACCGGCCTCTGCAGCCTGACTCTGGGCCTCTGGCAACATGGTGAGTCTGGGCCCTAGCGGGGTTGGCCCCACCACCAAGAGCCTCTTCAGGATGCACCATTCTCAGCTTCCAGTGCGACAGGTCCCTGGGCTGTTGGCGGCCACTGTGGTTGAGATGATGGCACCGATGCCCACGGCTTTCTGCCCCCATCCCTGGGATATGTGGCTCCAGGGAACACAAAGGGCAGGCCTGGATTCCCGCCGCTTGAGCTGAGGACATGGGGAGGGGACGGAGGGACACATGCTGTCCTTAGTCCCTGTGCTTTCTCTCCCTCTTCTGATGAGGGTTTAGAGCCAGAGCTCTGGGCTCTGGGGTGGAGGTGGCGGGATTCTACCAACCCTCAGTGTGCCTCAGGCTCGTGTCTCATACAGGGGCCTGGGGGAGGATCACAGGCTCTCAGGACCTCCTCAGCTTCCCTCCTCCCCACAGGCATATCCGCTGGCCTTCTGGGCACCAACGACAATGAAGCAGGCAATGAGCTGATGTTGCCGGATGGCTCTGTGGCCCACAGCCTGGAGGGGCTCAGCCTGGCCTGGCAGGTGAGCAGATGCACCTGCCCTTCCTCCCTCTGGCTGACGCTCTTGAGGGCTGCTCGCTGCAGAGTCCCAGGAGAGGCAGGTGGCCTGCTGGCTCTGCAGAGGTCTTTGCAGGCCCAGGGTTGGGGGGAGTCTCCTGCTGAGGCTAATCTATGTGGTGAGCCACATGGTCCAGCGGGAGGCCTGAGTCTTGTGTCTGTCCTGCCAGGTGGATGGTGACTGCAGGGCCACTGAGAAGACTCAGCAGGCCTGCCCAGGACAGAGCCCCACCTGCCGGGCCTTCTTCCAGGACCCTCGCTCCAGCTTGGGAAACTGCTTCCAGGTGGTGAGTGTGAGCCTGGCCCCCGGGACACAGAAAGCCCTTTCCCCAGTCTACCTTGCGGAGTGGCATGGAGGAAGGGCCTAGGCTAGAGACAGTGACTGGGTGGCCCTGATTTCAGGTGGACCCTGCACCATTCCTCAGCCTGTGTGTGCAGGACCCCTGTGGCACCCGGGAGCTCCAGCCTGCCTGCACTCTGGCAGATGCCTACATCCACATGTGCCCGCAGCTTCATGCCCCTGGCCCCACCTCCACAGTGTGGTAAGCTGCCCTAGCCGGCTGGCACTCTGCCCCGTGTGGCATCTGCGTTCCAGACGGAGGGAAAGCCCATCTCCCTTTCTTGCCAGGGAGGACAAATAATTGTCATTCAAGGAGCCAATAGTCAAAACAAAACATTTACGGCCTGACACAACTTGGATGTGTGTCCCCTCCAAATCTCACGTTTGTTAGAGGGGGTACATGCCTCATGGATGGCTTAGCACCCTCCGTTTGGTGAAGCGTGAGTTCTTGCTCTATTAGTTCACATGAGAGCAGTTGTTTATAAAGAGCCTGGCACCTCCTCTCTCTCTCTTTGTACCCCTCCTGTTTCTGCCATGATTGATTGTAAGCTTCCCAGCGCCTCACCAGAAGCCAAGCAGATGCTGGAGCTGTGCTTGTACAGCCTGTAGAACTGTGAGTCAATTGTATCTCTAATTTATGATCTGCCCAGGCTGGACTGTAGTGGTGCAATCTCACCTCACTGCAACTTCCACTTCCCAGGTCCAAGCAAGACTCCTGCCTCAGCCTGCCAAAAATACAGAGGGATGTAGTTTTAGAAGAGATGGGGTTTTGCTGTGTTGGCCAGGCTGGTCATGAATTCCTGACCTCTGGTGATCTGCCTGCCTCAGCCTCCCAAACATACAGGAGGTAGTTTTGTAGAGATGGTGTTTTGCCATGTTGGCCAGGCTGGTCTTGAATTCCTGACCTCTGGTGATCCGCCTGCCTCGACCTTCCCGAAGTGCTGGGATGACAGGCGTGAGCCACCGCGCCCAGCCTCACTAGGGTTTTGGATGTCCACCACCGTTTAGGGAAAATGCCCAGCCCCCGTTTTCCCTCTGCTCTCATACCGCAAAAATCATCATCAACATACAAGATGACTTCTGTGAGAAAATGTTTGTCCCCACTACCAGGGTGGACCTCTAATTCAGTTCTAACACAAGCTACCTTGAGGTTCCTTAGCCAGTGCTGCATATGGTTGCCACAGCCAAAGCCCCACTGAAAGGGCATAGAAGTCAGTGGCAACAAGAGGAGTGGACTTCCAAGAGCTTCAGAAGCCAGAGTTAGTGGCTGCCATTCATAGACATTTAAAACTTAACGAATTCAGCAGAAGAGAAAATTCATCAATTGGAAAATATGGCAAAGGGCAGATGACATGAGAAGATCCAACATGTCTCAAAGAAGTGTGGTGGCTCATCCCTGTAATCCCAGCACTTGGGAAGCCAAGATGAGTGGATCACCTAAGGTCAGGAGTTCAAGACCCGCCTGGCCAACATGGTGAAACCCTGTCTCTACTAAAAATACAGAAATTAACCAGGCGTGAATGTGTATGCCTGTAATCCCAGCTACTCGGGAGGCTGAGGCAGGAGAAATGCTTGAACCCAGGAGGTGGAGGTTGCGGTGAACCAAGATCTTACCACTGCACTCCAGCCTGGTGACAGAATGAGAGTCTGTCTCAAGAAAAATTCCAGAATGAAAACAGAGACAGGACCCTTTAGAGTCAGGAGGCACAATCCCCAATACAATAAATCCATCCATACCTAGAGCCATCCAAACAAACAAAGAACTGGTGCTAAAAGCTACTGAGGAGGGTGGAAAGGAGGAGGAACGTGTTGACAATTGCTTTCCCACCAGCAGGAACAGAAGATAGTGGAGTAAGAGAAAGCAAGGATGAGGTTAGAGTTCATACCCAGCTCAACTATTGCTTAATGAAATAACCTCTCAGCACTGATCTGTCAAGTGTCCATTTGTGGTAAAGAGATCTCTAAAGGGACACATCCACATGTTCATTTACATACTGTCTGGGTCTGCTCTCCTGCGACAGCAGCAGAGTATCTGCCAGGGAGACCACATTTTTGCTCTCTGAAAGACTCAATTAGGAAGATGGAAAGATAAGCTACAGATTGGGAAAAATGTTTACAAACCACCTATCAGACCAAGGACTCATCTCCAGAATACATGAAGAACTTAAAGCTCAAAAGTAGGCCAGGTGCAGTGGCTCACGCTGGTATTCCTAGCACTTTGGGAGGCTGAGGCGAGATGGCTTGAATCCAGGAGGTCAAGGCTGCAGTGAGCCATGACTACACTCCTGGCTGCATGACAGAGTGAGACCTTGTCTCAGAAAACAAAACCTCCAAAGTAAAAAATGGGAAATAAATGCATGAACAATGTTTGTACCCCCAGCCATAGAGAAACAAGGTAGTGCTACACACCTGACCTCCGGTGAGTTCTGGCAGCAGTTGGTGAGCTGCAGGGACTCCGCAGCATAAAGCATTAGTTGAACAACCAAATGACCGGATTGTGATCTCAGCATCCACTGAGCACTGTTCTAGTACCAAAAAGGCGGTGGCTGCGGAGAATAAAGCGAGGCTTAGAGGCAGGAATCAAGGTCACGGTCTACCAACCAGATCCTCTCAGGAAGCAGCATTGGACTCATGAAGTGCCAAGACAGCAGGTGGTGTGGCTCCAAGGGAAGCTTGGAGAATCTGGGAGTCAAGCTGAATCACTCATTTTTCTGACCATGTAAATACAAAACTGTCAGCTACTACTGCGATTAACAGAACACCTGGAAGGACAGGCAACTCAGAAGATTTATAGCCACAGGGTAACAATGGACTATTATCTGCAGTTAAGGTCCTCTCCCTTCCTCTTGGGGTTAACTTTTTTGAGATGGAGTCTTGCTCTGTTGCCCAGGCTGAAGTGCAGTGGAGCAATCTAAGCTCACTGCAACCTTCTCCTCTCGGGTTTCAGCAATTCTCCTGCCTCAGCCTCCTGAGGGGCTGGGATTACAGGCACGTGCTACCATGTCCAGCTAATTTTTTTGTGTTTTTAGTGGAGACGGGGGTTGCACCATGTTGGCCAGGATGGTCTCAAACGTCAGACCTCATGATCTACCTGCCTTGGCCTCCCAAAGTGGTGGAATTACAGATGTGGGCCACCGAGTCTGGCCAGGTTTATTTTAAAGCAAGGGTGAAATTCTTCCCCTCTCTTGGACATCAGTGAAGTATTTATGAAAAGCAGTCACCAATTACAGTTAACTTCTGAAGTACAAATTTAAAGGTGGTTGTAAGTTACAAAACAAAGACATCTTATGAACTCATAAGAAAAAAAGAATATTAAGACAGTTATTATTATTTTTGAGATAGGGTCTTGCTCTGTCCTCCAGGCTGGAGTACAGTGGTGCAGCCTCCCAAGTAGCTGGGATTACAGGTGTCCGCCAGCATGTTTTTGTATTTTTAGTAGATATGGGATTTCACCATGTTGGCCAGGCTGCTCTCAAACTCCTGACCTCATGTGATCCTTCCACCTAGCACCTGACCAGAGAAATTAAGACATTCAAAGACAAAAAAAAGCTGAGATAGTTCATTACATTGGGACCTGCCCTGCAGAAATGCTAAAGGGAGTCCTTCAAGTCAAAACAAAACAATGCTAGATGGACATTTGAAGGCACATAGAAAGACCTGTATTATTGGAATTTTGATTCATATCTCTGATTTTAATTATTTTATTAGATTTAAAAGAGATGTGTAACCGTAAGCATATGTTAAATATGTGATTTATTTAAAAAAAATTAGGCATGGTGGCAGGCACCTGTAGTCTCAGCTATAGAGCATCACTTCAGGTTACAATGAGCTATGACAGTCAATGCACTCCAGCCTGGGTGACAGAGTGAGACCCTCTCTGCAAGATATACTTTGTAACAACAACAACATAGGACGGGGCAGAGCTGTCAAGCAGTAGAGTATTTGTATGGGATTGAACTTACTAGTTTAAAATCGATTGCTGTAACTTCAGGATGTTTTAAATAATCCTTATGGTAATTACAAAGAAAATATCTACAGAATGTACACAAAAGGAAATGAGAAGGAATTCTAAGTGTGTCACACAAAAAAAATCAAACACAAAGGCAGGCAGAAGCAAGGAAATGAGAGAAAACCGTAAGCCATGCAGAAAACAGTCCACAGAGTGGCATGGGGAAGCCCTCTAAATCGTGTGCTGGGCTCCTCCCAGAGCAACTGCTCAGCTTAGTCCTTGGCTGTGGGCCTCATGGCACAGTCACCCACCATGCTAGTGAGTTTCATCAGATGATCATCTTTAAAAAATGCAAATTATTTCCACAATCAAAAGACTGTAAGAGATTTACACATAGGTTGAAAGTGAAAGGATGAAAAAAGATACTCCATGCAAATGGTAACTGAAAAAAGGAGGAGGAGCTAGGCTCATCTCAGACTAAATAGACTTAAGGTCAAAAGCTATTATCAGAGATAATAACAGTCAATTCACCAAAAAGATGCAACAGTTATAAAGGTACATGCAACGCACCTCAGAGCTCCTAAATATATGAAGCAAACACTGATAGAATGAAAAGAGAAACAGTTCTATGAAAATTGCAGGAAATTTCAACACCTCACTTTTTTTTTTTTTTTTTTTTGAGACAATCTCTGTTTCCCAGGCTGGAGTGCAGCCGCAACCTCCTGAATTCAAGTGATTCCCGTGCCTCAGTCTCAGAGTAGCTGAGATTACAGGTGTATGCCACCATGCCCAGCGATTTTTAGTAGAGTCGGGGATATACCATGTTGGCCAGGCGGATCTTGAACTCCTGACCTCAAGTGATCCACCCGCCTTGGCCTCCCAAAGTGCTGGGATTACAGGCATGAGTCAGCTGGCCCAGCCCAATAACTCACTTTCAATAATGGATACAACAACCAGACAGAAGATCAAGAAGCAAACAGAGGGCTTGAATGATACTATAGATGAATAGGACCTACCAGACATACACAGATGAGTTCACCCAGCAACAGAATACTCATTCTTCAAAGTACCTGTGGAATGTTCTCTGGGAAAAATCATATTAGGCCTCAAAGCAAGATTTAATACATTTTAAATGACTGAAATCATAATAGCAGAAGGATAACCAGAATATCCACAAATATATGGGAACTAAACATACCACAAAACTATCAAAGAAAAAAAGGAAAATTAGAAAGTATTTTGATACAAAATGATGTATCAAATCTTATGGGATGCAGCCAAAGCAGTGCTATGAGGGAAATTTATAGCTGTGCACTCTTACATTAAAGAAAACTGGCTGGAGGTGGCTCACATCTGTAATCCCATCACTTTGGGAGGCCGAGACAGGCAGATAACCTGATGTCAGGAGTTTAAGACCAGCCTGGCTGACATGGGAAACCCAATCTCTACTAAAAACAAGAAATAGCCAGGCGGCGTGGCAAGCACCTGTAATCTCAGCTACTTGGGAGGCTGAGGCAGGAGATTCATTTGAACCCATGAGGAGGAGGTTGCAGTGAGCTGAGATTGTACCACTACACTCCAGCCTGGGAGACACAGCTAGACTCCATCCCCCCATTCCCACAAGAAAAAAAGCAGCAGCCAGGCATAGTGACACTGTTCTATAATCCCACCTACTTTGAAGGCTAAGGCCAGGAGATTGCTTGAACCCAGGAGTTTGAGACTAACTCAGCAAGTGGCAAGACCCTCTGTCAAATAAAAGAAAAAGGAAAAGCTCTCAAACCGCAATCCTAACTTTGCACCTTAAATTATTAGAAAAAGAAGAACAGCCTAAACCCAAAGCTCGGAGAAGGAAGGAAATACTAAAGGTTAGAACAGAAATAAATGAAATAGAAGATGAATCAGTGACCAAAAACTTGACAAGAAAGTACAAGAACAGATGGCTTCATGGGTGACTTATACCAAACATTTACAGAATCAATACCAGTCTTGCTCATCGTCTTCCAAAATCCTGAGCAAAGAATACCTCAAAACTCATTCTGTGAGGCCAGCATTACTGATACCAAAGGCAGACAAGGCAGCAGAAGAAAATACACCACTATCCCTGATCAATACAGATGCAAAAGCGCTCAAGAAAATACTCATGAGAATTCAACAGCGTCATAGATGAATTATACAACATGATCAAGTGAGATTTATTCCTGGAATGTAAAGATGGTTACGATATAAACATCAATATAAGATAACACATTAACAGAATGAAGGGGAAAAAAATACATGACGATTTGTTTCAATTAGTACAGAAAAAGCATTTAATGAAGTTTAATATCCTTTCATGATTAAAAACATACTGACTAGAAATCGAAACAACCTCAACGTACTAAAGGTCATATGAACAACCTCTAGCTACTGTCATTCTCAATGATGAGAGACAAAGTTTTCCAAGATGAGGAATAAAACAGTGATGCCCGCTTTCACAATACTGGAAATCCTAGCCAGAGCTATTAAAGAAAGGAAAAAGAAAAGGCATCCAAATTGGAAAGGAAGAAGTAAAATCTTCTCTGTTAACAAACGACATGATCTTCTTTGTAGAAAATCCTGAAGACTGCACAAAATAAACTGTTAGAACTAATAATCTGTCCAAGTTTCAGGATTACGAAATCAACATACAAAAGTCAGTTGCATTTCTACACACTAACAGTCAACAATCCAAGAAGGAAATTAAGAAAATGGTTCCTGCTGGCTTGGTTGTGGATGCCTATAGTCCCAGCTACTTGGGAGGCTGAGGCAGGAGAGTCGCTTGAGCCTGGGAGGTCCATGCTGTCAGTTTTTATAACGATTATGCCCCTGTGAATAGCCACTGAACCCCAGCCTGGGCAACATAGTGAGGCACTATCTTAAAAAA